CAAGACATCACAATGTTTGCAATGATTTTGGATCAGTGTGTTTCAGTATTCTGCATCAAAATGATCACTTTCTAGAAAAAAAAATTATTGGGATCCTTAATTGATGTCGGTAATTCAAGGATAGTCTCATTGGTTTCGAGACGGTCTTCCCTTCGGACGTGAATATCGAGTGGATCCCACTCCAGGTTGGTGGCCTCTCAAAGATAACTTCTTCGGGATTGCTCCAGATTTCATCGAACCATGATGACTTCTCCACCAGCTGAAACTTTGACAGCTACATAATAAGTCAAGGCCATTACCCGATAACTATTTAGCAGCGATCGACCAAAAAAAACATTGTACGCGATGTTGATTTGACCACTAAGAAGTCCTCGGTACTGTTGAAATGTTTCTTCTGCTCGCCCCAAGAGATGCACAAAGCTATAAAGCCTAGAGCTTCCTTTCGCTCTCCAGAGAAGCCGAATAATAGACCAATAAATGCAGACAACTGATAGGTCCTTAGCCCAATCTTATAAAATACTATTTTGAAAAGATTATTGATAGAACTTCTGCTTCTGAATGAATTGTGTGACAAAAATAATGTTGTTATGCAGATTTCCTTTCAACAGTAAATTCGTGTCGGAAAATATGATGAGTGGATAATTCCATTTTTGGATTGAGTAGATGGTGTGTACCACCCCTGATTGGAGTCTTTTCTGATTTTCCTGACGGGGTAATCCTCCCCATCCAAAAATAGTTAGGATGATCCCAGTAATGTGCATTGAGTTTGATCGGACGGGAACGTCAGACTCCTTCATTGGTATCTGTCCCTGTCATTGAGTGTTTGCTCTGATCGCAACAAATTCCTTCAGTTTTACGATGCTGATTAAGTCCACTAGATTTTTTAGATGTTGGCATCCTTCAGTATCATGGTTGTGGTCCCGATGGTACTAACATTACTAGTTGGGTTTCTAGAGGGATGCTTTGGTTCTTTGGATGACCTCCGCCAATTCAACCATCTAGACCCTGAGTGGGTTCATTCCTTGCATCTCACGGTACGCGTATGTCTGCTCGTAGTATCGAGTCTGGCCACTCCGATAGTTATTCCCTCTCCATTCGTCTTTGCGGTTTGGTCGTCCTCATATTTTGCGCGACCTGAAGGCTGTTGGGTTGCTCCTTGCCTTCCACTTTTTATCGTAGGAAGCCCCTTTCTTCGATTGCCAATCAGTTGCCTCAATTTTTTGTTTGAAGGGACCATCAATATACTCCTTGGCAGTAATATAATTGTGGCCATCTTAGCAATTCAACCAACGTTTTGGGCTCACACAAACCCAAATCAAATTTAAAGCTTGTCGGCCCCTTTCACTCCCTAAGTCAAGCCAATTTGTGTGATGACTGGGCATAAGTTCTAAACTTCCGACATTTTTTTTTCTAAAAATGGGTGATGTAAGAATGAAGACTTTCACTCTCATCCTGTTTGAGTTGTAACAGGGCCAGATATTTCTTCAATCTCTGAACGTTGTTGAAGTGATCCACAAACACCTTCTTGAATCTAGTAAAAGAGGATACATACCCTGGTGGCATGTTATTGAACAACTTGAAGGTTGTCTTCTTCAGGGTGGTTAGAAACAGAAGACACTTCGTGGCGTCATTGATCCACGACATTTTGATCGCTAATTCAAACGAAGCCACCTAATTGGTCAAATCACTCTTTCTTTTATAATAGTCCAAATATGGAGGACAAAATTTTGTTGGTGATTCCGCTTCTTGAATCTGTCGAGAACGAATTTTCCGATGTTGGAGGTGCCTCAGCCGACCGGTTCCTCTCCACTAATACAAACCCAACGTCCTAATGATGAGAATTTTCTTGTTTGTTGATTGTCAGAATCACTCTCCGACCACTAGAAACTTTTGGTTCCTCTTGGGGTTGCTCCCCCCGAGATTGAATTCCACAAGATTCTTCTACCGGGGGAGGCGGTTGATCTCGCATTTAAGTGATTGCTTTTTAGAGGGCATTAAATCGACCAAACAACTGATTTTGTAACTCTTGCATTTGCTGCTGAATTTATTGTTGTATGTAGTTCTCTATTTCTTGTTTGTGGCATGTCTACGCTCACCGCACCAATTTTTAGGATGTTAGATCCTAAAATGTCATAATAGGCACACCACGAGAGTTTAGAGTACAAAAAAAAAAGATAGAAGAGAGAAGACACATGATCAGATGAAATTTCGGAAATTGAGTGTAACCTTTATTTATAAAATAACCTTTATTTCTAGCCATAGGTAGCTTGAGTATACAATTATAATATTATCCTATTTATCTCAATTGTTAATGAGTATTCTTTATTTTTTTTCCTAACCTTGGATAGTTAATTTAACTACCTCTATACTTCTAATAGTTGAATGGGCACCACTTTTTTTAAAGGCCGCGTTCATTGGACGTAATATATGACTAAACAGATTCTACTTCTAATTGTTTGTTGCCTCATTCTTGATCGATTCTGGCGATCGTTTGATTCAACTAATTGTTCAGGTCAGATGGGATTATCAATTGTCTGGGCAAGCGAGCTAAGTTGGCCAATCTTTTATAATCTTTGGCGTAGAATTCTGATCAGAAACAATAGAGTATCTTCGAACCATTTGATCTTTTTGAGATTAGTGCTGACATTTTTCGTATATACATTTGTAAGGTCTTTTGTTCCAAAATAATAATCTTTTCTCTACACATATGACAGGTTGAAGTACAGTGCTAACCACTTAGGCTCTGTTTGGGGCAGCTACAGCTTCTCAGCTGCAACTGCGCTTCCCTAGGAAGCTGCTGCGGGAAAGCTGATATGGGGAAGCTGACTAGTTGTTTGTTGCAGCTGTCTGAAATCAGCTGTGGGTCAGCTGTTTCAAGAGAAATGACCATCATACCCCTGTGTAGTAATGATGTTTGTAACAAAATATAAAATAATTTTTTATTAAATAAATTATATTTTAATATAATTTATCATTAATTAATAATTAATTATTTTTATCAAATAATTTAAAACTTAAAAATATGCTTATAAATTAATTAATTACTCATTAAATAATAATATATAATTTTATCTAATTATTATTATTAGTTTAAAAATATATTAAAAATATATGAAATAATCATTAATTATTAATGAATTAAATTAATAAAATTAAAATAAATTAAAACCATATATTCGGTCGTTTACATCGGTGGGATCTTCATCGTTTACATCAGTGGGATCAGAAGATTAGGGCTTTAAATTCCGTCGCTTGAGAGTGTCTTTGTCGGTTTCTCCTTGAATCCGCCTTCAACGATGAGTTCGAAGGAGGATCGCAGCTTGCGCAAAGGAGGACCGAGCAGGGAGGACCTTCGAAGGCAAGGAAGGGGCTTCGGCTGTCGCGTCAGGGAGGATCATAGCTTGAGCAAGGAGGGGCTTCGAAGGCAAGAAATGAGCGCTCGTTACTTTTCTCGAAGGCGGAAGAGGCAGGGGTATTATCGGACGTTCCCCACGAACGCGGGAAGCGAAAGCTGGGCCGCGGGGTCGATCCCGCGGCCGGCTTTCCACCTGTTTTGGCTTTCTTCGGCCGCGAAGCTGGGAGCCAAACGGGAAAAGTTTGTGGTATGGGGCTGCACCGCGCGAAAAAAGCAGCCCCAAACGAAACCTTTAAGAGAGGATGGTCAATCTACTAATACTTCGATTAACATTCTTAGTTACCTTACTACTACTAGTATATTAAACATTTAAGGAAAATATGCGTGAGATTTTTTCAGAAGTATAAAAAACAAAAAAAAAGGATTATTGAGAAAAAAATGTTACATAAGCTTCAGCGTAAAATCTTAAGAGCTGTTCTACGGACAAATTTTCCGTAGAAAGAGAGAATAGTTTCTAAGGACAAATTTTCCGTAGAAAGAGAAAATAGTTTTATTTTTATTATAATCATGTAACACGGCAATCAGTTCCTAAAAGTTGAACTCCTATAACACGATGCGAATGGCAAGAAAACAGGATGCGAATGGCAAGATCAGATCTGTTTCTGTTCGGACCAAAAAAAAAAAAGATTTTCCAAGCAAATTTTGATGTGGAGAAGTTACAGATGATACTTGAGGAAAGAAGCGAGAAAAAAATTGAAAGAATACTATAGATTTAATTATGAGATGTGACCAAAAAGGGTGGGGAGCCTTAATGGAAACCATGCAAACATTTCAATTTTGCATTAGGACTTCCAAAGCATAATTATCACTGTCCTCTCTTACTACCGCACTCGAAATCTGCACAATCCTAAGGCCCGTTGGGCTAATAACTATCACGGAAAGTCTTATAGAAGAAAGACATTAATTTTGGCCTACCTAAACTTTATAAAACAGCAAAAACGAAAGTTTCTCGATTTAATCACGTATTCAAAACAAACCCTAGATTTCTATACTAGGGTTTAAATCTAAGTATGAAATGAGGAAAACATAACGAAGCAGGGATATTTTATAAAGCGTAGGGGGAATGCGAAGGAGATCATTATGATCCCGTCTAGGTAAGTATGTGTGCTCTCCACTGCAAGGGAGACTCGGATGAAAGTAAAAAGGAAAGAAACAAAGAAAGAAACTTGGCAGGCTTCATTTTCGGTTATAAAAAGTAATTAAAAGTATGGAGAAAACAGCCAAGTGATCGAAAAGTTCTCAGACTCAACTCTTAAAGTAGTAGACAATATAACGTATCTACAATCTATAATTTCTAAGCCTGTTAGTAGTTGCTCTCCCAAAGTAAAACAAACTCTTACCATTCTCCCACAACCCTAACCACCTAAAGTGCAAAATACCACCAAAGCTAAGATTATCCAGCTCACCAACCCTAAAAATAAGAATAGAATCAGGCTAGCGCTAAGGACGTACAAACTCGTCCCAAAAACGATCAGTTTCTTTTCTCAGTTGATCTGCTCACTTCCTTACACCTTTCACCAAATAGGTAACAAAGCAATTTAATCCGAAAGGCGTAATAAAAGCAAAAGGCTTCTTAATCGTATACCTCGTGTTGCTGCAGAACTCGTAGAGCTTTCCACGATTGGAGAAAATGATGAGGCCAACCTCCGCATCGCAGAGGACGGAGAGCTCATAGGCCTTCTTGAGAAGGCCGTTCCTGCGCTTGGCGAAGGTTACTTGACGGTTAATCTTGTTCTCAATCCTCTTCAGCTCCACTCTCCCTCTTCCCATCTCTTAATCTCCCTTGCTTCTCTCCCTTTGCGAAATCACCGACGATCGATGGAGCAGGAGGAGAAGGGAAAAGAAGCCAAAACTGAGGTTGCTTCCGGCAAGGACTAGGGCTGAGGCCTTTCCTTTTGCTATTTATAGGACGAGAAAGTGAAATGTGAAGAAGGATAGGGCCCCCTTCACTCATTTCCCCAAGTCTCCCCATTTCTCTTCGCTTTTTCACCTTTTGGTCAGTCGTCGTCTTATGGTTGTTGAATTAGTTTAGAATTCTGTAGGGTGGGGATCGGATGGGAGGAAAACTTTAAAAATGAAGCGGGAGGACACGTGTCGAGTAGGGATTCGTGGGGACCGATAAACTCCGCCCGCTACGTACAATCTTGGAACTTAATCTAGGATTTGTCTCGTGATTAGAGAAAAAGCCAGAGAAGCTTCTTCAATGGGATAATATATTACGCAACTGGAGTTTAATGTTCCATGTTTGGGGCTTTGAACCGGATCCTTGGGTTTGGATAGGTCCCACGACAACGAAAATAGTTTATTGCAGTGGCTTGGGGCATTGATGAGCTGATGTCAATTGGGACCAAAAAAAATAGATTTTTTTGGGGGGATTTTAATTTGAGTGTGTGGGCTCTTGATTTTAGACTTTAATAAATAAAATTTGAGTTCATGTTGTTAAATAAAATGTGTGCCAAGTGAATGTGTGTAATATTCTTTTTGTACTAAAATTGAATTTGAAGGTCAAAGTGGGACCCTCAAGCCCATAGTTAATACCGCATTATTATGAACACCATATTAAATAGATTGTTTTGTATGAAACTGAAGAGGAAAGAGAGTTAGACAAGAGTTTCAAAATTGCTACCACACAAATCTTTTCAAAGATGGCTAATTTTTTTTCCTTGAGAAAATGAGAAAACAAACAAAAGCATTTAGTCATAGTTTTGGATTTGGATTTTTTTAAGAAAAAAAGTTAATTTTGGTGAAATTATTCATAGGATTTTTACTATTTAAAAAAAAATAGGAAGTTTATTTTTGAGAAAGCAAAATTTAAATTATATTTGTAAAATTTTATTTTTAAAAATATTTAAACTAAAAAAAAAACATATGAATCTTAAATATTGAAGATCAAATTTAAAAAAAAAATTGATGAATATTACTTGCCCCTGATCAATGCAATAACTAGAAATATTGCTAAAAACATAAAATAATTCAACTGAAAACCTTAGCTGAGGCAATTATAAAATAAGAGAAACAAGCTTTGATAAATAAACTAAGTGCATATTTGGCTACCCAAAATGAATAAAAATAAACTTATTTTTTGAATTTTTCTTACAAACAACCAAATAATGTTTTAAGAAAAAATTATATAAACAAACAACACATCCTTAAGTCAAACAAAAATGAACATGCTCCTTAGCATGCTTAAATATTTATTAAGATCAGTCTAGAAGTCATTTTATTTTCTTTAAGATGGCTATAATAAAAGAGAAATCAAGTAGAACATGTGTTGCATTTATCTTAAAGAAAACTCTAAAACTTTGGTATTCATAATGAAGAAAGTTTACTTAAGACATCTTGGCTAAAAATATTGTCAATGCTTCACCATATATGGAGTGAAAGTAATCCTACCACTGTAAGTGAACCTCTTAATTTCTTTCACACCTTGCCATCACAGATCCATAGTTAATAGTATGTGTGTTTGTCCATGGGAGTTTACACTAATTTAGTACCAAAACTAAATTATAATCTAGCAACTCTACCCCATATTGGTCTCTTAGTGATTCTTTAGGCCTTGGCACCTAAAGCTTTTTCCTTGAGAAAATTAGAAACCAACAAAAACTATTTAGCCATAGTTTTGACATTGGAATTTTTGAGAAAAATAGTCAAATTTTGATGAAATTATTCAACAAAATGTTACTATTTTTAAAAATCGATTAGGAAGTTTATTTTTGAGGAAACAAATTTTAAATTATAATTGTAAACTTTTATTTATTAAATACCTAAAATAGAAAAGAATGCTAAATAAATCTTAAATATAGAAGATAAAGCTAAGCAAAAAAATTGATGATTATTAGTTGCTCATGATTAGTATAATCTATAGAAATATTGCTAAGAATGCAAATAATTCAACTGAGCACTTTAGCCAAGGAAATTACAAAATAAGAGAAACAGACTTTGGCAAATACATTAAGTACTCATTTGGCTTCTCAAAATTGTCAAATTTATTGCTTGTTTGGATGCAATTAAATATGCAACTTATTTGAAACTCCATAACACTTTCCAAAATTTTATAAGGAAAATAATTTTGTTTTCAATTTCAAAATAAATAAAAATAAAATTATTTTTAGAATTTTTTTTTTATTTACAAACAACCAAATAAAGTTTTAAAAAAAATTAACTTCAAATCCTTTAGTCAAACAAACATGAACATGCTCCTTAGCATGCGTTGGGGTGTTTAGCTCAAGACACTTGCTTGAATTGATATTGGATCAAACTCAAATATGAGAATAAAAGGCTTATGTAATTTAAGTATTTATTAAGTGATCAATCTTAAAGTCATTTTATTCTTTAAGATGGCCATAAAAAAGAGAAATCAAGTAGAATATGTGTTGCATTTATCTTAAAGCAAATTTAAAAGTTTGGGACTCAAAATGAAAAAAATTAACTTAAGACATCTTGACAGAAAATACAATCAACACCACACCATATATGGAGTTCAAGTTATCCAACCATGGCATGTAAAACTCTCAATTTCTCTCATACCTTCCATCGCATGTCATAGTTAATATTGTGTGTGTGTCCATTCGTTAATTAACAGTTCCCGAAAAGTCCTTAGACTACATGATTACCGACAGGCATATTAGTTACGCCACACAAACCATACAAAAATCCTCAGAAATTAACCGACCATTTTATAATATTTCTTGATGACATTTTATCATCAAATATAGGCTAAATTCCTATAGTGTTAAAAATGATTTAAGACAATTTAGAAATAGCAATAATGTAAAATTTAAAACCAATATAAAGTAATGTAAAACCATTTAAAAAAATTAAAAATAAATTTAAAACCAAAATAAAACAATCTATAACTAACAAAAATAATTTAAAATAACTTTAAAATCTAAATAAAATGAAAATAAACTTTTTAAATATCAATAATATAAAAAAAACTTTTAAAGTTAATTTAGAATCTCTTAAAAATTTAAAACTTCTTAAAGATAATTAAAAATTTTATTTTTATAAACGACTTAAAAACATTTAAAAATGAACTAAAAATGTTTAAACATTTTGAAATAATTCTAACATTAGGAAAACTCTTAATTTCACAATACTTTTTTTGAACGTTTTAAAAAAACTTTAAAACCCAAATCATGAAACATTTTAAATTAAATTATAATAACTTACAATACCAAAACACTTAAACCAATTAAAATACTTAAACACTATAAACCAAATAAAATAATTTGAATGACTTTAAACTTTTAAATTAAAATCCAAACATTTAAAACACTTAATACCCTTAAGCCACATGAAATTTATAAGGCACTTCAACAATAAATCACAAAAATCTTGCAAGTGGCATATGGACTTTAGACTAATATTGACAAACCAAACTAACAGAGAAAATAAACTTAGACAAAAAAAATCAAATGCAAAACATCAAACCTAAGGTACCCTGAATAAATATGGGTGTTGAAATAAATCATGAATTCAATATCAAACTCCCAACAACTATAAAATCCACTAACTTAAATGATGAGAACCCCCCTTAGGTAGCTCAATAGTAAACCTTACGATTAGCTAACATATAAAAAAAATTCAAGATCAAACATACTTGTCGACACTATTTTGGGTTGGAGAGTTGTTAAGTTGTCGGCTGCTAGGATGGATGTCCTAACACTCGTTTTAATTTAATTTTTATATATATTTTGGAAAAATAGCTTTTTGGCCAAGTTTTGAAAATACAAGATTGGACCAATCTCATATCCTCTGTAGTTTAAATAAACGAGTCTAATACCGTAAGCAATGTATCTACCCCGAAAGATAAATACAATACTTACTGTAAGGCTTGATTAAATAAACTAAAGATTGTATGACATCCGTTTAAATCTGCAAAAAATATTTTATATATAAGCTGACAATTTTCCCAATTTAATACGAAGAATTAAATAGGTTTTATATTAAGCTAGGTCTGGAAATGCTTCCTATAAGGGCAAGCCCCTATAGTTAATTACATCTTAGATAACCGGAGTCACCTAAGAAAACTCTCGATAAAAAAACAGGGAATAGTATCTTCAAGGAATTAGGAATTCAAAAGGGTAGGACTTTTTAACGAGATCAGACAAAGAGGTGTGAAAGGAGAATGACTTAAGTTTGGAACATTTTATTTTGGAATCCAAAGGAAGAAGAACTAGGAGATGTCACAGATCCTGAGTAGAACCTCGGTGACTTCTAAAGCTATTCTATGGTTTGGTTTCAATTTAGAGGAGAAATAGTTAAATGTTTCATCTTTCCAATTTTATTAAGCTTATATTTGTGTGAAACGATCACACAAATAGCTTGGAAGATGTGAGGATTTAGATCATGAAAAAAGACAACCTCAGAATCCTAAAGCAGGTTAGGGCTTAAATTGTATAGCAGAGCTATACAAAAGCCTAAAGAAAAGGTTGAAGATTTATGTTGCATAAGCAAACAACCCCAAAAATCCTATGGCTTGTTGTTTAATTCTAAGGAAAGATATGCTGTTGTAGATCCTATTACTGTTGAAGATGGTCGTGCTGCCCACAATACTAGCTCCAAGCTCCTCATCCTAATGACTTTAAATTTTTTAATGTGTCCAGTTATGATGTCAAATCAAATGTTCCTATGGTCATGGATCTTTAAATATTATGGGGCATGTTAAAGTTAATTAGAGTGGCACTGGTTAGGATCCTACGGTTCCCTCATTCCGGTACCACTATTTTCTATCGAATTCACTTAGTCTAAATGAATTTACTAAGCTCAACTCAATGAGTTCCATACCTTCATTTAGACCGTTGAAAATCTCGTTAACAATCGTAGGTTACTTCCTTCGAGAGATTCCCGATCATCCGCTAGAGACGTCTTAGTTTAGTTGTAATTGTTGTTTTGTGATGTTTGTGATTAAATTTTGAGTTGTCTTGTCTTATATTTTGAATATTGTGGTGGT